TTTTTTTTATTTATTGCTTCTTTTTCATTAAGGTGCTATTGCCAGTGATGATCAAGTGCGTATTACACCATCGATTCGTAGTCAAAGAGGTTTGCCAAGAAAAAGACAAGATTTTGGTTTATGAATAAGAAAAGATTTATTGTTTTTAGGTTGGATTTGGAGTAAAAATTCGTTATCAGCCAATGATTGGCTTCTCGATGTAAAATTACGCGTAACAGGACGTGGTCGACTCGGTGCTGATGGAATGGTAAGAGAATGAAAAATTACTTTTCTATGAATATGATTTTTTGATGTAAATGTATGAAATGAAGTAGAAAATATATACACTAGTCTTAAGTTTAATAGACAGACTGAAAGAGGGAAATAAAAAAAATTAGAAGATCAACAAAGTTTATATTGAAAAGTTATTTAATATGCAATTATTGCTTTATATACCTTTTTTTATCTAAAATCTGGCAATTATTTCAAACTTAAAGAGAATATTATTCTAAATTTTTACAGAAAGATCGATTTATAAATTAAAAGAGTAAGATTCAAAGATCGACTAAATTTTTAAACTTAACTTTGTAGTCTTTAAAAATTGAGGAGTTCAGCATCTTTAAATTTTATAAAAAGAAGTAAATTTATTATAATTTAGTTGTTTGTTTAATTAGGCTATTTGGTTTACAGAAAATCCAGGTGTAGAAGGTAGTGTCTTCGGTTCCAACGATCAATGGAATGGATTAGGCATTTTTCTTGATTCATTTGACAATGATGCATTGGTAAGTTATATTACTAAGTATATTTGTTTTTTGCTCTACACAAGCCAAATCATTTTATTAAACACTAAAAATAAAACATTCATTATTGTCACTTGTATTTCAGACTACTCAACTAGTAAGTTATTAATTATAAGAATATCTTCTATTGTCTTTCACATATTCACGTTGTTCGTTTCGTAATAATATATTCGTTCAGTCGTGTTTTTAATACTGTTTAATTAAAAAAAAAAAAAACGAGCTAATCAGTTAATAAAAATCATGACTAGACGAATACTAGACTTATTTTCACGAAGCATTAATATATATCTTCGTTTTTTTACTGAACGTTGTACAAAACTAATTTAGTTGTATTGCTTTATTCGTTGTTGAATTAAAGTTCACTTGTTCGAATCTATGTAAAGGCATTGCCATTGTTGGGCAGAGTCCTTAGTCTGGCAACAGACAATGATATGTGTCTCTTAATCAATAATGGCAATAATAATGTCGGAATTTTAATCCCAGCATGATGACTGTGATCACTTGGCTGATTCATGAGTCCGATACAAATATCATGAGAAAAAAGAAATTCTCTTTGATAAAACGAATAAATTGAATTTTGTTTTTTTTTTCTTAGCAAAATAATCCAATAATTGCTGTGATGGTTAATGACGGAACAAAATCTTATGATCATCAACATGATGGTAGTAGTCAAATTCAAGGCAGTTGTATTCGAGATTTTCGAAATAAACCATTACCTATTCGACTTAAAATTGAATATATTAATCAAGGATTAACAGTAAGATATATACTAAAAAGATTTTTTTTTTTGTTTTTCATCATTATATTTTTTTTTTCTTGTATTAAAGATTTATATTAATAATGGAATCTCACAAGATGATAATGCATTTGAATTTTGTACACACATTGATCGTATACAATTACCTAAAGTTGGTTTTCTTGGTGTAACAGCTGCAACGGGGGGTCTTGCTGATGATCACGATGTTTTAGAATTTTTAACACATACATATTCTGATAGACAAGTTGCAGCACAAAATCAAGCAGCAACTGATGAACAAGCTAAAAAATATAAAGAAGAATACGAAAAATATGAACAAGAACTTGAACAACAACAAGCCGAGTTTGCATTTATCTTTTTCTTTTTAAATGATTTTATCGATTTATTTTTGTTTATTTAGTTATCGAAAAGATCATCCAGATGCAACAACACCATTGAATGAACAACAATTGGTTTGTATTTAATAAATAGAATTATTAAAATAATTATTTATTTTTTTACTTTAGTATGAAACGGAATATGATCGTGAATTTCGTGTTATCTTAGAAGGTCAAGATCAAATTCGTGTAGCATTAACAAGTATTGATAAAAAAATGGCTGAACTTTTGGGACGTATTGAACGTTTATCATCAACTGGTGGTGGACAAGCCCAAGTAAAACATTTTAATATGTAATTATTTCTATGACTTTGTTTTCTAGGATGTACCTAGTATTGGTTCAAATGTACCTGCTGATGTAGCTCGAATTCAAGATATAAATCGAGTTATTAATGCAAATACTGATATGACACGAACTATTCAAAGTTTTTCGTAAGTTATTAAAAAGTTAAATGTTACTTCCAATGAATCTTCTGATTGATTATGAATAGACAAATATTAACTGATCTTCAACAAAAAGTCAATTATGTTCAAACGAATTTCAAAAATCAGCAGCCAGTTGGTACAGGAAATCAAGCAGCTACTTCAAATGTAGATCCAAAAGTATTAAATGAACTTCGAGATACAATTCGACAAATTAAGTCTGAAACAAATACACTTTTTGTTGAAGATCAGTTAATATTTGTCTATTCATAATCAATCAGAAGATTCATTGGAAGTAACATTTAACTTTTTAATAACTTACGAAAAACTTTGAATAGTTCGTGTCATATCAGTATTTGNGATCTGTATTTTAAGATGCGTTTTAATTGATTGATATAGTTCAAAAAAGATTATTGTTACGCGCGAAACAAATGATATCTAATCATCATTTAGTTCTTTTCTTGCTCAAATCGTTCCTAGAAAAACATGTATCCTCTATGAAGAACAGTGTTCTCTTTTTATCATGTTATGGAGCTTTAATGAACAGAGAAAATATTTTGAGCTAACTTTGCTCCAAAACTTCGAAGAGTTTAACCTCTTCATAAGTGACCTGTAAGAATAATCTTTTTTACATATGTTCAGTTTGCACTTTCTTTCTATGATGCTGCTGTAGTTATTCGATCTAATCTGGACGACTGATCACAACTTAACAAAGATACCATGTAGAAAATTTATGTCATTTGAATCACTTGTATTTCATGTGTTTAAAGAATGGGATTTGTTAGTGACTGTGTTCTTGTGGTTTGTTTAGATTCTTTTGTGTGAATAAATTTAGGTAATTGATTGAGAAGAGTACCATTGTTGAGAAAGTTTTTTGAATTCATTTGTTTTCTACTTTTACGTTGATAAAATGATTTATATTTTACAGGTGCTCGATTCGGTTGCATATAAAATAAGATCATCCAAATGCAGGAAATTAATAAAATTAGTATAATTATAATGATAAATAATATAAATGGAACTATGAGAAATCTAAATGATATCATTTATAGATCAATTCTTTTCAAGGAAAGTGCGCAATAATTCTTTACAATAAGATAATTATATAAAAATTTTTATAGAAAGCTAAACTATATCTTTTTCTTGAATAGAAATTTCATAATACAACATTTTTTCAAAGACATTACATATTTGATTCACTGATCAATGGTATTAATATCATTAAAAAAAAAGCCATTAGACTGCTGAAATAATTTCTTTTTGTTATCTGATCTACACACACGTTTGGAGTTTTTTCTTCATCATCATTTCTTTGCATTTTACTTTCATCCTGATAAAAAGATAGGCGTTTTATATAATCGACAAAGACCGCAGTGAAAGATATCAGTCGTAGTTGAAAAACTTATATTTCGAAAGAAACTTTAGTGGTTAGAAAAGAAAATGTTTTCAAAACTTATTCTATCATCATGTGTTCTCTCGTTCATCTTATTGGCATATGTGAATGCTGATCTTCGAAGCACGTTAGTACAAACTTTATCTAAGGATTCCTTTTATATGATTCATTTTAATAGTGTATATGAATTGGTTGAAGCTCGAAGTGGCGTAAAATCAAATTGCACTTTATGGACATCATACTTTGCAACTAATGGTATTGTTCGTTCACCTGTTGGAGCGACGCCCATTATTGGTTACGATGCTATTCTAAAACATTGTAATGCATGGAATCAAAATCTTGGTCCTCAAGGAAATGGATGGTATCCTTTGGAATTATGGTCAAGCGATACTGAAGTATGTTTATCTTTCATTGATACTGAGTTTATTTATAATCTGATTTTTCCTACTTTTGCAAGGTTGCTTTTGAAGCTACAATACGAGCAGTAAATAAAGGAGGTTGTCAAGTTAATTTGCGAGGTATTATTGTCATCAAATTTGATACAAATGTAAGTTATATAACAAATGAATTTTACGATTTTCTAATTGGTCGCCAAATAATTTTTTTTTCTTCTTCTTTGTTTTAGTTAAAGGTTACTGAATGGAATCATTATTATGATTCTGATTTTGTTGCACCACAACTCCAGGGTAAATGCCAACATCAATAGATTACAAAACAGTACTAATAATCAACAATTATCAGAAGAAAATAAACAAGAAATTTTGCTTAAAAAAGAAAAAAAACATTTTTCCTTTTTCCTTGTCGTTTGATGTACCATTATTTTTTTTATTATGTTAGCCAAAATATAGATAAAAGTTTTTCAAAATTCATTATTACCATTGTCTTCTTTTTGCTTAAGCTCTAACTTTTGAAACAATTGTAATTGATGTAAAAGTCTTTTATATGTGTCGTCATCGTCATCATTGTCAACATCAAGAAGCTGATCTTGATGATTGACATCAGGAGATATTGTAAAAGAAAAAGGCTCTAAATTAATATATATATATATTCATATATATTTTATTTTAAAAAGAATCAAACCAATAGTAGGATTTAATAACGGTGCTTGGGATGTATATCGACGACCATGTAATCGCCAACTATTAAATGTCCATCTTTTGTGATGCGCTGACATTGATTGTATAGGAATTATGAGCATCGCGATCAGCGACATTAAAGTAATCATGGTAATTATTGTTGAGGAATTCATCTAAAAATTAGAGTATGTGTGGTATTTAAAAGAAAGACATGAATTTAACTTCTATCAAAGCTATATATAGAGAGAAAGTAACTGAATAAATGTGTTTAGTTAAATCATATGAAAGTAAACAGCATGAACTCAGTTTTTTGTTTTTCTGATTGACATTCATTCTTTCTCAATGAATTAATGTTTTTGTGCTCACGCACATAATTGTGCGAATAAGAAATATAATAGATAGGTAGGTTAAAATTAATACGCATGAATACAATTTGTTGCAGAATGACTTAATATATGTTAATCAACACTAAAATTTGGAAAAGTCTGATTGTTAATATTGACTTTCTATCAGAGCAGTTATAAAAAAGAATGGCAAACTTTGTTCTAACTATCATTCATTGATAAGCCTGCAAAGAATTTGTCTGTTTTATTTGGTATAATTTAGTGTAAATATCACCTGCATCTTCGTCTTTTCCCTTGTTGCAAGTAACTTTATTTGTCAAACCTAATAATCTTAGCGATGATATCCATTTAAGCGTGGATATGAATTGTGTAAAAAGTAATTGAGAAGTTATATCAAATTTACAAAAAAAAAAAAAACTCATGTTTGCTATTATCAATGTAATATAAACTTAATTGCACATTAGCGCCATCTTATGTTTCTTCTGTTCATAGAAAGGAGAAAAATCAAGACATATTTTATAGAGATTGGAAAAAAAGAAAGAGAGGTTCGAGCGAGGTTTGAACTCGCGACCTTCTGCGTGTAAAGCAGACGTGATAACCGCTACACCATCGAACCGACGGTACCAGTAATGCAGAATGAGAAAGGGATGATAGCAAGAGTTTTATTATGTCGAGAAGGCAATAAAATAAAATAAGTTTAGATAAAAGAAAACAAACTATACATACAATTAATCATATATTAATTTCTTCAAAATTTAGTTATTATTTGATTACATTATATAGTTTCGATTGAGATTTGTTTAAAAAATATAGTATATATTGAGTTGTAATATAAACAGTTCTTGACACGTAGAATGCCTTTTGTCATTATTATCCTTTTAACAAGATGTGTTTCATTGAAACAATATATCAATTTTTATTTTTGATATATATAAGTTAGAATTTTGTATTGGCAATAGAGAGCAAACGACTTTTAACCACTGTTCCTATAAAAATCGTATGTAGTTTGTGATGATCAACTAATGACTATGTGTGAAATTAAATGTAAAGGCTGTTCAAAAGAGCACATTTATGTTGTGTATACCTAGATTGAAGTATGAACTTTAGATACTGGTGATTATGGTTGAATATTAAAAGTTGATCAAGATACATTGAAATATAAGTCATTGTTCAAATTATTGAACAAGTCACTCTAGTTGATACAGTATTAACCAACGATCTCAAATGTTAATTGTCAGCAGGAAACTTACAATCACAAACATTTTTTGTTCTTTTCATCTCAAAATCATGTTTCAATCTTTTATTTTGTACAATAATATATGATAACAACAATCGATTAATTAATTTTTGTTTCAAATAACAGTATATCAAAAACAACAACAATTAAGACAAATGCTAATTAACAAGTTTCATAAACACATTTCAAGGCATTTCTTATTCACATCACCTAAAAAATAATATTTTTCCACTTAGTTGGCAAAGTAAAGCATATTTAAGTATTCCTATTATGTTAATCAATGCAATTATTACATGTTATTATTATCAGTGCATACTACGGATATATATGTAACAACAAATTTTTGTTCTCTGTTCACTTAAATACATATACCAGTACAATAGGTTGCTTGGAGCATAAAGGAATTGCATTTATGACTTCTTTATTAGTGATTCTGTAATATTTGATACATGTCCTTGGTCGTTGGCGATGGATATTGTTATTGTTAGAATAAAAAAAAAAGAAGTAAACCTTAGCTATTATTACTTTATGAATAATAATAGTTCACATGCAACTGCTGTTCTTCTATTCACTCTATAGTAATTTTTCTACTACTTGTATACAAGGTCTCGTGCTCTACACAGACAATGATAATTAATGTAAAGTGTCACAGCTGATGGTGCATCATTAGACATTTAGTATCGGTGAACGATAAATAAACAAACGTTTGAAGGAGAAAAAAGAAAAAGAATAATTTTGTTGGAATTATTTGCAGAAAAGTCGATTAGTAATGATAGACGAGAAAAAAGGTTTTGGTAAAGAAAACAACAATGAGAGTGCCTTCTTCAATTGAAAAAAAACGTATGTTTTCAAACAATTGATGGAACACTTGAAGTGCGATAGAATACCCGAAAAAAAAAGTGAAGGCTGTCGGTAACACATTTGAGAGTGGTATAATTTCTCTTTGTCGTAACAAGCGGGAGAAAAAGTAAAGAGCAAGTAATAGTGCGAACGCAAAAAAAAGAGAAGGAAGCAACAAACGTACAGTGTATTATATAGTACACATTCTGCATAGAGTAAAAAAGAGAGAAGAGTGGAATCCATTGCTTTCTTTCTTCTTCGCTGTCTCACTCTCTCTCTCTCTCTCTCTCTCTTTCTTTGTGTCTTTAATCTTTTTCAATTTTTCATCGACAGCACTTCGGACTCGGATCACTTACAGTACCACTAACTTTTATCTCTTCTATCGTCTACTCTAAGTTCACTTCTTCATTCAATAGAGCATATATTCAAGTGAAAGTAATGCTAAAGTGGGCGGTAACGCCGCGCTTTAACGGTGATTATTTTGAAAACGAAGGTGTCCATAATAATCATGGTTGCGAACTGCTTACATTACAAGCAATTATTGACCAACATCGTCTTCCATGTCTTGTTCGACTTACTAGTGATGATATAAATGAATCAACCGATAATTATTGTCTATTACTTTGTCAAACAAATGAACCATATTTACTTGTTTCAAATGAAACTGAACGTTTTTCTATTCCAATGTCATTTGATGGTGAGTTTTTAGGAAAAAAGAAAACACCAGACACAGTTTTTTTTCATGTTTGTATGTCTGTTGATTGCATGAGTTTCTTAAACTTGACACTTTTTTTTACATAAATTCACAATAATTTGATACTCGGTTAATCGACAAAGAAAAAAAATGGAAAGATGATTCTTAGTCATACATTTCGATCAATCTAGACATATTTTTTTATCATTTGACTGATGAATCATTATTGATTCAAGATATTTACTAAGTATAATCATATGTTGATGTCAAGTCATGGGGGAATCATATTTTGATGTCTTTTTTTTCTACAAATATATAAGTTTCTTTTAGAAAAATATGCATAAAGTATGAGAGAATCAATCATAGGTAGAAGATGAACTAGCTTCAGGACAGGATGATGACATAAAAAATAAAACAAATAATAATCAAATATAAAAGTTTCTATCATAAATTTCATATAAAGGAGATATTTTATTAGTCTGATCTTCTATACTATTTATTTCTTTATTTTAATATAGGTCTTTTTGCTCCAGTCGAAAAAGGTGTTACTCGATATAATATTCTTGAATCCGTACGTGCTTTACGATCTCATCTAAAATCTCATCCATCGTCATTGTCAGGATTTTCACATTTTACTGTCTTACAGCCATGTATGGCATATAGTAATTCAGCTTTGCGTCGCATTCGTCCTGGTACTATTCTTGAACCATGTCGTACATCAATAATGTCATCTAGATCTCCATCGCCATCAATTTCATCATCATCATCATCATCAAATCGTTTACGTACACTTTTTGCTAATCTTCCACATTCAATTAATAAACATCTTTTACCACAACATCAACAATCACGTGCATTTAAAAATCAAATACCACCAAGTGATTATCTAAAAGTTAAATCAATTCAACATGATGAAAGTTTTTGTTTAAAATCTGATTCAATTGGTGTATTTATTCCTGTACATACAGAATTACCATCAAATAATTCTCATCGTCGATCATCTCTTTTACCTCATTCATCTCCATTTTCATCATCATCTTCAAATCAAATTCAAGGTTTATATTCAGTTGAATTGTTAAGTAAATTGATTCATCAATATCCGCTTATAACAGAACTTGTTATAAGTCGAACATTAGAAGAAAATGTACCAACAACTGTTGGATATCCATTTCGTCGATTAACATTACATCGTCTTGTTGAACAACATACACGTATTATTGCGTTTGATATGAAAAATTATGCTTTTCTTGAACTTGATGCAGTCCATCCAATGGATCTTTATGTATTTGAATCTGAAGATGCACTTTTTCAACGTTATCAAGCACAATTGCGTTGGTGTGATTCACATATATCTTCATTTCGTTCACAAATAAAAACAATTGTACATTCATCACATGGTACACCAACATTTGTTCAAGCGACGCCTCTTCATGGTCAACAACTTCAACAATATCATCAACGTCGTGATTCATCATCATCATCAATTGTTTCACCACTTACTAAACATATACCACAAACAATATTTACATCACAAGAATCGATTTCATCAATTCGTTCACGTACTCGTACTCCATCATCATCAAAATTTAATACAACATCAATTAATCCGAAACACGAACAGCAACAACAACAAAAAGGTAAAACAACTGGATCTAGTGGAACAGCTAGGAAAGACGTAAGAGTTTATTTTAATGATCCAACTATTCAAAAACGTCTACAAGTTACATCATTAACATCGACAACACGACCAATGATCAAACAAACATCGTTTAATAAAAAACATTCTAACTATCGAACAAATAGCACTGAAAGTGACAGTATTGATGGTGATGAAGAAAATGAAGATTCATATCAATGTACACCATTGTAAACTATTTAGAAAGCATTGCACATGTACTATGTACACAGTTTATTGTTTTGTTTATCGTCATATTGAAAAAAGGAAAGAAAACCAGCACTAAAACACTTTCATCATGAACTTTT